TTTGTGGTGTGGTGACTGGACCTGGGCAAATAAGTCCAGGCTTCAGGAGAGGCCTCCTTCAATGGGTCAGCCAGGGGCACAAGTTGGGTCCACACTGTTAGGTCATGAATCCCAGAGCCCTGGTGTGTACTGGAACGTAGTCATTGTATTTAATAATGATGCCTTTCCTCCAAATTTTCCTGCTACATCACTTATCTCTGTGGATCAGCCTCCCCTTTTAAAGCACAGCCAACTGTATAGGACGTAATGTGTGCTTATACATGTGCTATGACACATTCTAATTAGAACGCTTTAGCATTACTGCAACATAACATGTATAAGCCTGTGGATTTAAAAATAGCTACTGGGGCACTTTAACTAAAGCTTGTTGAATGAGCTTTTAGTCAAAGCATCCCACAGCCATTTTTTAAATGCGTGGGGGCTTGATACACGTGACGCTGTGGTGCTTTAATTAGAGCAGCTCTTCAGGAACTGCTCTAATTAAAGTGTCCCCCACTCCGACCACATGTATAGGCACCCAATGGTAATAACTTGCAAGGCCTCAGTTATCATGCTGTTGCTCTGAGCAGTTGGCTTTCAAGTATTTTGTTGTATGCCTTGAAATCTCTATGCACCTGTCTCATTCCCCGGGATAAATTAATTTTTCTAGTGGAGTGGATATGGAGCAGCATGGAATACTGCTTTGAAAGTTGGTTTAAAGTACAGTAGGCTGTAAGTCTTGGTTTAACTGTATAAGATGTTGTACTGATTTTCATGTCCTCGCTTCTGTTTGCATCCTTATGGAAATTTAGATCATGATTTCAGTGGGAGCAGAGTTAGGCCAAGTCTGAGCAGTTTGAAGTACTCCACACAATGTGGGAAGATTCTGAAAAGCATCACAGGCAGTTAAGTGCCTCACTCCAATGGAAAGTCAGTGGCCATGAGCTACCTAACTCACCTGAATGTGTCTGAAAATCTCCTCCTACTTCTTAAACATTTCTCCCAGGTTAAATAATTTTATTAAAAGAGTGGCTGTCTCTTGAGCATCAGTTAGCAAATGCAGCCTGGTAATCAGGACTGGGAAAATGAGAACCAGTGCTTGGGTTCTCCACTCACTGCCTGCAATCCGGCGTTCGGTTCTTGAACGTGAATCTAGTAAAGCTACAGGATTTATCCACTTGGAGATCTGCTGTGGGTGTGGTTACGGAAAGGTCACTTAACAAGTCGGGTTCAGTTTCTCCATTTGCGAAATGCCTATAAAATTCCCCTCCCCTCCATGGGGCTTTCAGCTTTTGTTTGAAAAGTATTTTGGGAAATTTGGGTAGAAAGCTTCACAGGAAGAGAAAGTACTATCATTTTATCTCTCAATTCAGTTTCTGTCTTGTCTTTAAAAGGCTGCTCAGCTGCTAGACATGATGATGGATGGCTGTCGTTGACTGACTAACAGAGTAAAGATGGGGAAAGTTCACAAGTCCAACACTAGGACTGACATTATATTTTAAATATGTATTAATATTCCTTCAGTTTTTGTTTATTAATAGTCCTTCAATTTATTTTAATTTAATTAAGCTGGAGTGAGAAACAAGAAGCACAACTTCAGTTCCCAAAACTAAAACATTTGATTCCTTTAGTAAGTTGTACTGTCCCTGTTCTTTTTGGGTATTATATGCAGGTTCTTATAGCTTGCCTCTCATAGGGGCATCTGGAGACCTGAATATCTGGTCCCAGCTTTTATTTGTTTTAACTTTTTATTTAGCATTCAGTCAGTCCACAGACTTAGGAGCTATTGTTTAGAATACAAATAATTAATATGTTAGTCATCTGATAATTTTTTGCCTCTCATGCATAAGCACAGGACATGAATAAAAGAAGGTAGGACCTTAAAGGAAAAAGAGAGAGAAGACTACAAAGAAAAGAGGAGGAAAATGTCGAGATAGTCATGGTACATGTCTCTGCGTGAGATAAAGATCTTCACCTGCGAGAAACTGAAAACTTCAGATTTGCCGTAGGATAAAAGTCTTAGGACATAATTTGGCAGGTTGTCAAGGATTTATGTTCAGAGGAGAAACTAAACTTTCACAGAATGCATATTTCTTTTTTTTTTTGTGGGTTTTTTTTTTTATTTTATTTTTTGTGAAAATCTTGTGTAACTTTTAGGAAAGCTCACTCTTTAGGTACTTGCTTAGTTGAGAGACAGAATGGTATGCTCTGCTCCATTTCCTACCATGCAACTATTAAAGGAAATTATCTCAGGAACACCCCC